CCCCCCAACCCACCCCGGGCCCTCAGTTCATCCTCCGCTCCATAAAGTCGGGTCATCACATTCTTTCCTCAAGATTTATCCCTCGCTCGGCCTGCACAGCACTTGGCATGCCGGCGGCGGCGCTCCGGAATGGGAAGGCGCGGGCGAGGACCCCATGCTGACGCGTGTCCTCGCCGAGGTCCTCGCGGGCCTGTTCGTGTCCCGGCGCGGGTCGGCCTGCCGGGGCAAAAGGGGCCTCTCTTCCGGGTGCTGACGGCCTGCTTGGTTTGGGGTGTTGCAGATGGCACCCGGCGAATGTTGGGCCTCCTCGTCGCCCTCGTCCTGGCGCTGGCCCAGCTCGCGCCCTCGGACGCCAAGCCAGCGCACGCCGTGCAGATGGACGCCATCGACACGTGCCTCTTCACCTGCGACGCGTGCTACAAGGTGGGCGTGGCTCCTCGACCACACAATGCTAAGTGGTCGTACCAATGCAGCTACATGACCAGGGGGGGGGGGGGGGGGACACAAATATAATGGGGTCTCTATGGGTTCCAATGAAGTCCTTACTCTTTTGCGACTCAATTATATTTGCACCCCCTCCCCCACAAAAAAAGTCACGTAGTATTGGAACGACCCCTAAGTGCGTTTCTGGTAATGTGTGATTGTGCTCATCGTTTTGCAGGGAGAGGCTCTGCTGGCCTGCGCAAACACCTGTCTCCAGGTCGACGGTCAAATGATGGGGACGGCATGGCAGCAAACTTGTCCCTACTTCAGGAAGAAGCCTTTATTCATGGATATCTTTTAGTCTGATCCCACCATCAATTTCTCTTTTTCTTCCCACTGTACAAGTCTGTTTAGAGGCACAGTCCAGATATGTTCTTCATATTTTCTTCTTGCCAGGTCTTTCATGGTTGCCTTCAGAAACTGTGTAGATAAATATAATTAGAAATAGTTCTAAAGGCAACAAGCAAAAGTTTGCAATCTACCGTAGATACTTTCACCAAGTTTTGTTGTTGATTACATGAACAGAAATAAAATAAATAAACATTGAAAGATCTGTACTGTAAATTTGTATTTAAAGATTAGTTTTAGAAAATGACTTTGTATAATTTTATTCAGACATATAGTGTTTCACTTCCAACTCAGCAAAGTCTACTTAAAAAAAATTTGTCTTAATATTTGGTCTACAAAAAATACTTCTGGTTTAAAATCCTGGGTCCCAATCAACTTTCTTTTGTACTTGTAATGGTTTGTAGCAAACAATAATATCTCCTAACTGAACTGGAATAGATGCGTCATTTAACATCAAACCACACTCAGTTCCACTTTTCATTGAGTTTACTTCGTTTTTCAGATGACGTAAAGATGCTATGGTTCCTAGGAAAAAAAGGAAAAAATTAAATGAGCTTCATAAAAAACATCAGATAATTTATAACAACAGAGAACAAAGTCTTACCATCGTACAAAATTGTTTCCCCTCTGACTAGTTTAACTCTATCTGATTTGCTAAGTTCGCCCTTTGTGACTCTGAGTCCAGCAACAACAAATTTTTTCCTCTTTTCAGTTACATCAAATTGTTGAATAACATCTGCTTCTCCTACAAAGGAACAAAAACATTAACATGGTGTGAAGTTAGATAAATAAATTTGTGTTTAATGAACCTACATACCCGTAATTTGTTCCTCTTCTTCAACCGGCATTTTCACAGCTAATTCTTTTTTAATGTCATCAACTAAATGGTAAATTACATTCATTTGCCTCACTGATACACCTTTCTTTCTTGCTTCATTTTTCAACTCTGGTGAAATTTTGACATTGAAGCAGTAAATAATAGCTTTTTAAAAAAATAACATTGAAAACCATTAGATATCACACAAGGAAAACAAAAAATTGAAACAATACTGAGTGGATAGAATGAAATTAATTAAGATTACCCTTGAATAATAATGCTGCTTCTATATCACTAGGAGATAATTCTCCGACTCCAAAGTGAACAACATCAAGGGGCACATCCGAATTGTCATATGTTTCTAGGACATCCAGAATAGCCTCTACAGATCCATCAACGTCACCTGATGGATAAACACATTTCAGACTAAACACTTGTACAGGTACAAGATCAACTCAAACTCATAGATAATAAAATGCTACACTTGCCTTTAATGATAACTTTTACCCGAGGGGTGGTGTCTTCTACCCATAACTTTTCTCTTTTCTCCTTCAAAAAGTGAAGGCCTTGTTCAGCCGCTCTTCTTCTTCTTTCATTATGTGCCTGTCAATAAATAAATTGGTAATGGTACTGACACTTTAAAAAAAAACAAGCGACGCAAAGAGTAAAATATTGGACATACCTTCTTGTGCTCTGCTTGTTTTTCTGAAATAACACTTTGGTCAGCAATGCCCTTGTTTTCAATTTCTTTAGATTTACGATAGCTAACCACTTGTTGAGCTTTTTTCTATCAGCAAAACGGAAAGAGAAAACAGGCATACAATAATTGATGAACGTAGAGGTACATGTAATGTGAAATACCTTTATTTGCACACAACCAAGTATCAACACATACCTCAGACTCAACTTCTAATAAAATTTCTCCTGCCGCTGGTAGTTCTTTCCAGCCCATCATTTCAACTGGAGTGGATGGTGGGGCCTTAGAAATTTGTTTCCCTAATTCATCAAACATTAGCCGTACTTTGGCATAAGCAGTGCCAGCCACTAGAATGGCACCTTTCCTCAGAGTTCCCCGCTGAACAATTGCTGTTGCCAGTTTACTGTGGAAATTTCATACTTTATAAGTAGTAAATTTTGACAATTTTCCTTTCAGGATTGAGAAATTTTGGAAACAAGTAAAACATAAGTAAGTAACAACAACTTACCCTTTATTTGGATCCTGACTTGATTCAACAATAACACCTTCAGCTAAACCGCCTGGATCACTTTGTAATCCCATAATTTCAGATTGAAGTATGATTGCTTCAACTAGAGTTTCTATGTTAGTTCCATTTAGAGCAGATATAGGAATAGCCTGAATATCACCTCCCATATTTTCTGTGTATATTTGGTGCTCGGCAAGCATCTCTTCAGTACGTTTCTGCAATTTAAGTCAACCAGTTAGCATAAAACCTATACAACATCAAATTTAGGTAGATTATTCGCATATTTAACTTACAATGTTAGCACTTGGTTTATCAATCTTGTTGATAGCTACAATAATCGGTGCTGCCAATTTCAAAACAAAAAAACAAATTACAGTACAGTTTTATAGTTAGTAAATTCAAAACAAAAAAATGCACACACCTTCTGCCTCTCTAGCCATTCGTATTGATTCTACAGTTTGTTCCATAACTCCATCATCAGCAGCAACAACAAGCACTACAATATCAGTCGCGTTAGCACCACGAGCACGCATTGAGGTAAAAGCAGCATGGCCAGGAGTGTCAATAAATGTCACTTTGTCATTTTCACCTAATTTCACTAGAACAGAGACAAGGAGTTGAAATTGATATAATGATAAAGATAAAGAAAAAACAAACTAAACAAGTCACACTGGCAATTACCTGAAAATGCGCCAATATGTTGTGTTATTCCTCCAAATTCGCCAGCTACAACATTGGCTTTGCGTAGGTAATCTAAAAGAGTTGTTTTACCATGATCTACATGTCCCATGATGGTTACAATTGGTGACCTTTTTACTAAGTCCTTTGGATCTGCTGGCGGTCTGATATTTTTAAAAATTAGATAGATATTGCTTTATATCGGTTATGATTAAACAAATCATTGAAGCATCATATTTGACCTACAAACCTTGGATATACATCAAGATCATGTGATGTTGATTCTTGAGTTTTAGAGGGAACAAGCAGGGGTGCTTTTCCCATGAACCTCACAGTATCCCGCAAAATGTCAAAGTTATTGATTAGATCTTTTTTACTCTTGTAGAAGTGACCCTCAGGTATATGGAGGTGAAGAATCTGAAGTAAATCCTCTGAACAGAAGAAGGTGAAGTTTTAAAAAATCACAGCGTAGGAGCTCTAAACAATAAAATGATGATTGCAACATACTTGTAGGTCTTCCAACTTGTTTCGCTAGCTCTTCTACAGACATGTTTCTCCAAACTTCCACTTTCTCTTTCTTTTTTTTGTCAAGCTTTTTGAGAAGAAATTCTCGCCTCTGAAATGAGACATGAAAATTATTATTCAATTAATATACAGAAAAAATACTTCAGCATACTATTCCACATTTGAAATATCTGAACAGGTGTACAACACATACCCAAGCTTCATCTTTTTTGGACGCTTCTTTGAAGCTAGTGGTGTGAATACAGGCTACTCCATTGGCAACAAACCTTGCACTTTTAGTGGGACATAAGATTCCCACCTTGACAAGTTTAAATTTACCTTGAAGTGTGATTGTATTATTGTTGTTTAGTCTGACACATTTATGTCTGAAAATTAGTACAAGAAATGTTAAAAAATGCAAGAATGCATATTTACATTTAACAAAAGCATCAGAAATAGGAGGAAATACAAATGTAAAAGTTTTTAGAGAATAAAGGTTAAATCAATCGAAATCATAGCATATTTAGGGTAAAAATACATGTTCTTTGAGTAGAAATTCATGACTCCTTTACACTAACTTTAATTTTGAGCCACAACGGTATCACGACACCTCTTTGGAGACAGTGTATTCTAAAACTAATAAAACCACAATCCTACTAAAATAATCATCCAGTCATGACATTTGCCATTTAAATTTTAAATTTATCGTACCTGCCACTCCGGAGCCCTAACCTCAATAAGGACGCCGCCATAGCTGCAGACGCCATTATCATCGACAGTCTCGAATCGGTGAGCGAGACGAACTTAGAAAAGGGTGGGAACTTTTGAGGTGGTCCGCCAAAATGACACGGTCATGTCTTGGTATCATGTTGCTATGGTCAAGTCAAAACCACATTCTGTGTATATTTCGCAAGTTTAAAAGGTGTCTTTGATGTGAGTAAAGATTGTGGGTGAAATAATGCTAGAGATATTTCAATAATAATTAAAATCATATATTCAATAATTCCTTACAATCTCTTGGCAAATGAATTAGTCACAGAACAATAAAGCGCACAGTAATTTTGAGGTGAGGGAATCAAATAAAAGAACATGGCTACGTCATATAAAACACTAGTCATTCTTAAGGGTGTCTTAATTATAAGAGGGCCTCTTGAAAGTTGAGCATTGTAGGGCTGTGCCTTTATTGATCTATCATACTGGTTTCCAAACCATCTGAAAACTTACATTAATTTGTAAAAGTACATCTCATGTGTCCTTCTAAATACTGTTAGATAATTACAGCATTCAAGAACTATAAATAGGCCTAAGGCAGTCAACGTGTTAGGTTTAAAGTAATGGCATGATACCGAGTTTAATGAGGCAAGCGACTCCCAGGCTACTAATTCTGACTACGTTTAGCTAGGAATCGACTGTCAGGTCAACAAAGTAATCGGTCCAGCACTTCTATAAATCTACTCACATCACACATAAATAATATTG